ACCTTAGAAATTTACACAAGATCTTTCCCTGCGTACACAACAACGAAATCCAAAGACACAAATACATGTTTGGAATATCAGTGCAAATGTAGTTTAAAAACATAAATTTCGGTGTTACTTACCATAATAATAAAAAAATTGAGGAGCATAAATAGCCAGTTTACTAAATGCAGTACTTATCCATCCATGCAATGCAACACTATGTGTGTGTGTTTGAAATGAAGGGTTGAACTATTCTGTGAATAAAAAACATAGAACTTTCTTGCTGTAAGCAAACAAAAATAAATATTTCTCTTAAAAATGGGTGTGCCAAAGTAGAATCACTACAGTAATTTCAAAAGACAAGAATAAAATTAGCAGACACACTGATCAATAGAAAAGAAGAAACTCAAACAAATAAACTGTTGGAGAAGGTCTGATTTACCCTTGAGTTGAACCCAACAATTGGAGGCTCCTCACTTCTCCTGTCCTTGGAATGTATGCTGTGCCTACTGTCCCCAGTGGGAGCTATTTCAAGGACACGGCCTTAGGGGAATATAGTGTTATTGAGACCACCTGGATGGTATATATGACTGAACCCAGTCAAGATTTGGTGGATGGGTAAGGAGATCTACTCCTTTGGTGGCATCCAAGACAAGCCTCATATATTATTTCCCTTGCTTATTAAACCTGCCATCTGCCCATCTGGGTGGCCTTACCCTCTGGCTGGTCTCTTCCTGCCCTCTGTATATAGGGGCTCGTTTCAGATTATACCCAGGAAGCTCCCAAGGAGCTTGCAAATTGATATTTGCCCAAGCCCAACTGATTTTTGGCAAATATGCAAAAGCAATTCACAGAGGAAAGATGGCTTCTCCATAAAATGGGATTAGGGCCATCAGATATCAACAGGAAAACATGCAAGCAAGCAACCAACCAAAAACCCTCTTGACCTAAACACTCAGCCTCCTACACACAAACATAATCTCAAAAATGGATATTGCAATTCAATATGTATTGAAATGTAAAACTAGAACACTTAGGGAGAAAAGTTTTTTTTTTTTTAAGTTGCATATCTGTTAGGTTTTTTGGTAACTAAATGGAAATGAGACCGCCAAGGCAAGCGAGGGTCCAAGAACAGATTTTATTGCAGGCACCCTCGGGCGAGGTTCCACGACTCACGGAGGGGAAAGAGTGAGTCGGGGAAGTCGCGCCAAGACAAGGTGGCAGGGGGTTTACGTAACGTTGTAAGGCAGAACGGTTTCCTATTGGTTGGCTCATATGCAAAGGAAGGATTGCAATCCAACCAGTCAGAGTGACCCTCCCTATGCAAAGGAAGGATTGCAGTTCGGTCAGTCAAAGGTGACTTCCTCCTCTGGGGTTTGAAGGGCATTGGGTACGGTTGGGTAAGTCCAAAGGAGAGGTCTAAGGGTCTGCGTCAAGCTGTCAGCAGGTCATTGGTCCATTGGCGTCCCAGGTGGAGGTGGTGACAGGAACCTCAGCCATTTGGGGTATCCGCCATCTTGAGGAGTTTCTCTTCCCGCCTGGCCCCAACAATATCCATCTTCATTTATTTTATTTTTATTTATTATTTATGATAGTCACACACAGAGAGAGAGGCAGAGACACAGGCAGAGGGAGAAGCAGGCTCCATGCACCGGGAGCCCGACGTGGGACTCGATCCTGGGTCAGGGAGAAAAGTTCTAAGAAAAATTTGTGATATAGGGTCAGGCAAAGAGATTATAACACTTGCCGTAAGAAGATGATCCATAAAAAGAATGGAGACAGAGGAAGTCATCAAAATTAAAAATCTAGGCTATATAAAACATCTTTGAGGAGGACAAAACAACAAAGTACAGAGGCTGTGAAAAAATTTATAAATCAAATATTCACTAGGAATGTGTAAAGAACTCTCAAAACACATCAATATTTTCTTAAACAAAAAACCCCTTCAAATGCAAAATGGACAAAAGACACAGAACAGACATTTCACCTGAGAGGAAGAGATCCAGTTGGATGACAAATGAGCACATGAAAAAATGCAAGCTGTTTCCAGGGAATGCAAATAAAATTCATAGCAAGATATCAGGACACATCCATCAGGATGTCTTAAACAAAATGGGGGAACAGTATCAAAACGCTGGTGAGGTTGTACAGATATTGTGTCACTAATGCATCACTGGTGATATAAAATGGTACATTGCTCTGGAAAACAGTGTTGCAGTTTTGAACACACAACAAAAACAAAAACTACAAACTTATTAGTGTCTTACAACCCAGAATCTCAACCTCTGGGCTTCGATCCCAGACAAATGAAAACAGATTATGCAGTAAAGGGTTGCCTGAGCAGGTCTGGGATATTCAGAACCTACACATTCCAATGAATCATCTGATCTCTCCTGGCTCCTGGGAGGAAACCCCTAAACTGTTGGAATGTCATGCCTAGTGACTGTCTTGTTTAGCTGGGATCTTGGGTACTTAAGGCTAATAAAGTGATTTTATGGTGGTGGCCCTGGGCCATGTATCAGTTTGACCTCCAGGAGGTCAGCTTCTGTGGAGTCCTAGAAGTCCTTCTAGGAAGTGAGGCATCAAACCCAAGGCTGGTCTGGAGGACTCCATCTCTGGGCCTGACAACACATGTTCACAGAAAATCCTGGACATGAATGTTATTAGCAGCTCTGTTCACCACAGCCCTGAACTGGCAACAACCCTGACGTCCTTCAGGATCATGTGGTTAAACAAATAGTTGTGGAGAGTAGTCACAGAAATGGAAATAAATGTTTGGGTATACATATCAAGGGAAGAAACAGGCAGGACTAGGCAATGGATTAACTATGGTATGGGGAGATACAGGATAAAGAAACACTTCCAGAGTATGGAACAGGGTCACTAGGTAAATAGTACTAAAAGCCATTCATATGGGAAATCTGGGACAGCCAAGGCAAGGAAGGAAGAAGGCCATGATTTTATAGCTGAACCATTTTTTAATATGGTGTGTTATGACGCATCCAATTCAGAAAACCAGTCAGGTGGTTGTATATCCAAATCTGAATGGAGATGGAATCTGGGGTTTAGAGAGTTCATTATTAATGTCTTACAAATGGACTGGATCACCTAGAGATTGCTTTTAAAAAATAAATAACAATGACAGACTCTGGGAAGGCCCTGGGTTGAGCTATGGATGCACTTTAAATTTTAACACCCAGGCAGAGGAGCTTATGCCAGCAAACAGTGCTATGGAGGGGCATCAAGAAAGGCAGGAATTAAAGGAGAAGCTTTTGGTTGTCAAGAGCCAGCGATGAGAGTGTCCTAAGGAAAAATAAGATGAGTGGACTCTTACCTGGACTCTTCTGAAGGAAACCAGAACGTAACACTCCAAAAAGGTGCCTCTTTGGCACATGGAGTCTTTCATATTCATGAGCCTTAAGATATAGAAGATGCAAGAAGAATGTTCTGAAAAGATACCCTTCGTGTACCACAAAGGAGGAAGAAATCATTAGTCACCAGAGATGGCAGATGGATGCAGGAACTGGGATGAGCAATCCATACCAACAAACCTTATTAAACTAGCCTCTATCTTTCACTTCTTCACCATGAACTACCCCAACTCTTTGTCTTGTCAGATCTTCACAAATTTATTATTTGTCTTGAAGGTATAAATATTTCCTGCTCTGGTCACTTCTTCAGGTTTTCATTCTCTTCTGAAGGCTCCCTCCTGTGTACCTTAACACTTACTAAAATGTGTATGCTTTTCTCATATTAATGTCTTAAGTCACTTCCTATCTTAGGTCCAACCAGAGTCTAAGAGGGCAGAGGAGACGTTTTCCTCTCCTACAAGTGCTAGAATGTCCAGTAATCTGGTAAATAGGAAGTGGGCATTAGATGTTCGCCACAGAACTCATTGGTGTCTATGGCAAGAAGAGCAGTTTTTGGAGCAATCTGGTGGATGACTTGAGTGTAGTGAAGAACGGATGTCAGGTGAAGAGGTTGGAAGGAGCCATGCTGAAAAGGCAAGTAGTCACAGAGGTTTGACTTTGAAGTGGCTCAGACAAATTGGGATCTCAAAGAGGACCAGCTATGTGGTAGTACTGGAATTTTTAAAAAGATTTATCTATTTATTTTAGAGAGAGGGTGAGGACATGGATCAAGTGGCAGAAGGAGAGGGAGAGACAGAATCTTTTTAATAAATTAATTTTTTATTGGTGTTCAATTTACCAACATACAGAATAACACCCAGTGCTCATCCCGTCAAGTGTCCCCCTCAGTGCCCGTCACCCACTCACCCCTACCCCCCGCCCTCCTCCCCTTCCACCACCCCTAGTTCGTTTCACAGAGTTAGGAGTCTTTATGTTCTGAGAGAGACAGAATCTTAAACAGACTGTACCAATCAGGGAGCTTGATGCAAGGGTTTGACCTCATGATCCTGAGATTACAACCTGGGCCAAAACCAAGAGTTGGACATGCAACCAACTGAGCCACCCAGCTGTCTCTGGAATAATTTTTTAAAAACCCATAGGTTTGGGCAGCCCTGGTGGCCCAGCAGTTTAGCGCCGCCTCTGGCTTGGGGTGTGATCCTGGAGACCCAGGATCGAGTCCCACATTGGGATCCCTGCATGGAGCCTGCTTCTCCCTCTGCCTGTGTCTCTGCCTCTCTCTCTCTCTGTCTCTCATGAATGAATGAATGAATGAATAAATAAATAAATAAATAAATCTTTTAAAAAAAACACATAGGTTTTATTATGGGTGTGTTTTTTTTTATTTTTTATTTACTTTTTTTGTTTTTTGTTTATTTTTTTTGTTTTTTTATTTTTTAAAAGATTTTATTTACTTATTCATGAGAGTCACAGAGAGAGGCAGAGAGAGAGGCAGAGTCCTGATATGGGACTTGAACCCAGACACTGGGATCACACCCCAAGCTGAAGGCAGACACTCAACCACTAAGCCACCCAGGCATCCTTTTTTTAAAAAAAAAAAAAAAAAAAAAAAAAGAAAGATTTTATTTATTTATTCATGAGAGACACACACACAGAGAGAGAGAGAGAGAGAGAGCAGAGACATAGGCATAGGAAGAAGCAGGCTCCATGTAGGGAGCCCAATGCAGGAATTGATCCCAGGACCCTGGGATTATGCCTTGAGCTGAAGGCAGATGCTCAACTACTGAGCCACCCAGGTGTCCCTGTGTGTGTGATTTAAAGAACAGTTTTGGGTTTCTAGCAAAACTGAGCAGAGAGTACAGAGATTTCCCATATGCTCTCTGCTCTGCCTTCACTGCTCCCTGCCCACCAAATACACACACACTCAGAGCCCCATCCCACCCCCACATGAGCCTATCAACATCCTCCACCAGAACAATGTGTTGGTTCCTCCTGAAGGACATCTTGGTTGCTTCCAACCAAGTTCTGGCAGTTATGAATAAAGTTATAAACATTGGTGCGCAGGTTTCTGTGTGAACATACTTTTTTGACTCATTCAGGGTCAATAAATACCAATTTATTGCTGGATCCTATGGTAAGAGTATGTTTTATTTTGAAAGACACTGTAATAAAGGACTAGTACCTAAAATCTATGAAGAACTTACCAACTCAACACCCAAAGAACAAATAACTCAATCAAGGGGGCAGAAGACATGAAAAGACATTTCTCCAAAGGAGACATACACATGGCCGACAAATATATGAAAAAATGCTCAACATCACTCAGCATCAGGGAAATATAAATCAAAACCACAATGAGATATCACCTCACACTACTTAGAATGTCTAAAATCAACAAGCAAGAAATGACAGATGTTGGTGAGGATGAAGAGAAAGGGGAACCCTCTCATACTGTTGATGGGAATGCAAGCTGGTTCAGCCACTCTGGAAAACAGTATAGAGGTTCCTCAAAAAAGTTGAAAATAGAGCTACCCTATGACCTAGCAATTGCACTACTGGAGATTTACTCCAAAGATACAAATATAATGATTCAAAGGGCTGTACAGAATTTTCTTATTCTCAGCTTCCTGTCCTTGAGAGGAATGTCACTCTCCTTCTGACATAAGGAAGACAATTTCCCATGGATCTCAGGGTCCTGCGATGGAGTCTCACTTTGGGCTCCCTGGTCTGTGAGGAGGTTGCCTCTCCCTCTGCCTCTGCCTCCCTTTCTCTCTCATGAATAAATAAAATCTTAAAGAAACAAAACAAAATACTGCAGAGCAACTAAAGCTGCTGTCAAATCTTCCATCAAGGCCCACATACTTAGGCTGTGTGTGACCCCAAGGATGAAAAGAAAATTGGTGAGGGGGTAGGGAAGACTTCTTTGGTGTTATGTCTACATTCAGCAGGTGTAGGGAAAAGAAAAATGATGTTCCATTACCCTTCTGTGTTTTTGGCTGAGGTCCATGTAACAGAAAGACAGATTAGAGGGAGGGAAGGAGGAAGGGGGAGAAAGAGAAAGAGAGAGAGAGAGAGAGAGAGAGAGAGGAAGTTTAGTAGGCCATGTAGTGCACATCTCCAGGAGAAACTTAAACCAGAAGTAACTCAAAATGGTGGCTCAAAATTCCAGCTTCTATATTATCAACAAAGAACAATTAAGTTGTAGAGAAATGTTAAAAGCAGCTTTAGGGTTCCCAGGTTGGCATTTTTTTTAAAGATTTTATTTATTTATTCATAGAGATGCAGAGAGAGAGAGAGAGGTAGAGACACAGGCAGAGGGAGAAGCAGGCTCCATGCAGAGAGCCTGATGTGGGACTCAATCCCGGGACTCCAGGATCATGCCCTGGGCCGAAGGCAGGTGCTAAACCGCTGAGCCACCCGGGCTGCCCACAAGTGCCCTTTTAAAAAAGGCACATTTCAACCAGTTTGGTGCAGTCTCCTGTACTCTCTAATCATCTACTATTTGCGTACAATTAGGATTCCTCCTATAATCTTTCAGCCACTGACACCACCACACAGAATTCTGGACATTGGTGTCCATCACTCCTCTGCAGGACCTGGGAACAGATTTCTTCCCCAGTGCTGAGCACAATGCCATATTCCCAGCAAACCAAAGAACAATTTTATGTTGTTCCCAGAAGTACTGGAGTTTGTCACCATTGCACCCCTTCAGGGGGAGCTCTGACACCACAAAATGTCCTGCCACCCAGGCTACAATTTAACCACAAAATCCTATGTAATTTCCTTTGAGGCATGGGGCAACAACACAAACAAGAGCCAAACCAGAGAGAGGACTACCACTCTTCCAGCCCTCTGATGCACATAAACATTGGGGTGCTCACAGGAGCTGTTTCTCCTGTTGTTCTGTTGCTCCAAAACCATCACATAAAGTGAATAACTCTCAAGATAAAGGTGACTTAAACAATAAGGGCTTTGTTATAGCACAAATCAGATTAATGGAGGAAGGCTGTTCCTGGGTTGGTGACTTGGGGGCTAGAAATGCCATCACAAGAGTCACCAGACCAATAATATCCCTAAAAAAGGTGACTTTTCAGGTCATCAGCAGAACTCAGATGGAGTCCTCTGGACCACAACTGGGCCATCCATGCCTTAACTAATCAGAGAGAAAGGAATGAGTACTCTGGCTTCCCACACGTTTACCAGTGAATGGGCAAATACCAAGGTTAACTTCCCTGAACAGGTCAGGGTAGATAAATGATGCACCTGTGGACATCTGCAGGTGGTAGAGGTAAACAGGTGCTGCTACAGAACCAACAGTAATAAAAATCTGACACAGGACTATGCTCAAATGTGATGCAGCTCCTACATACCTGGAATTTTTTTTTAAGATTTGATTTATTTATTCATGAGACACAGAGAGAGAGAGAGAGGCAGGAACACAGGCAGAGGGAGAAGCAGGCTCCATGCAGGGAGCCCCATGTGGGATTTGATCCGAGGACCCCAGGATCACACCCTGAGCCGAAGGCAGACGCTTAAGCACTGAGCCACCCAGGCATCCCCATACCTGGAATTTATTTTGATGTTTGGATGTATGAAACTCAATTTAGGCAGATGGCACCCTCAAAAGAGATCTCCTTGAGTGTTGTTATACTGAACAAGGAAATACATTTGCTACACATCTAAGTTGTTTCTCCCATGTGAATTTTGTGGTAATCAATGAGATAATAAGGCCTTTGGCTAATGGCTTTCTCATTCAAGACATTTATGATGCCCAAACCAGTATGAATTCTCTGGTGTCGAGTGAGGCCAGAGCTTTTACTAAAAGATTTCCCACACTGGTTACACTTATAAGGCCTTTCTCCAGTGTGAATTCTCCGATGGTCACTGAAGTTGGAGCTTCGTCTAAAGGACTTCCCACACTTACTGCACTCATATGGCCTTTCTCCAGTGTGAACTCTATGGTGTTTAAGGAGTGCAGAGCTTTGGCTAAAAGATTTTCCACATTTGCTGCACTCATAAGGCCTTTCTCCAGTGTGAACTCTCAGGTGTAGAACAAGGCTGCAATTCTGGCTAAAAGATTTCCTACATTCACTGCACTCATAAGGCTTTGATCCTGTGTGGACTTTCTGATGTTTTAAGAGACTGGAATTGTAGGTAAAGGATTTCCCACATTCATTGCACTCATAGGGCCGTTCTCCAGTATGAATGGTATGGTGCTGCAAGAGTGCAGAGCTTTGATTAAAGGACTTCCCACATTCACTGCACTCATAAGGTTTTTCTCCAGTGTGAATTCTCTGATGTTGAATGAGGTTAGATCTTTGACTAAAGGATTTGCCACATTCTCCACACTCAAATGGCCTTTCTCCAGTGTGAACTTTCCGATGGTTATTGAGGCTGTAGCTCTGGCTAAAAGATTTCCCACATTCACTGCACTCATAAGGCCTTTCTCCAGTGTGAACTCTCCGATGCTGAAAGAGGTTGGAGCTTTGGCTAAAGGATTTCCCACATTCCCCACACTCATAAGGCCTTTCTCCTGTGTGAACTCTTTGGTGTTTAATAAGGCTCGAGTTATGGCTAAAAGATTTCCCACATTCACTGCACATGTAACATCTTTCTCCAGGGCGGACTCTCTGGTGATGGGTAAATGTGTGCTTGTGGCTGAAAGCTTCTGTGCAGTCTCCCCAGTGGTGTTGAGTCTTTCCTTTGGGGAAGGCCATCCTGCATTCAGTTCCACTGTTTGACTTCTCTCCAGTGTGTGTGGCTGGTTGCTGGAGGAATCCTGAGCTGGCCAGGAAGTCCTTTCCAACCTCCCCACAGATAAAGGGCTTCCCTGAAACTTGCAATCTGCAACTCTTGACCACCACTGAAGCTCTGCTTATGTTGCTTCCAAAGGGCTGATCTCTCACGTGCTGCTTTTTGTGATGAAGGTTTTCACTGAAATAGAATCTTTTCCCATGTGTCCCACTGGTATACAGTTTCTCACTGAATTGTGTTTCCCAGTGCTCAGCCAAGTGAAAACTGTCTTTCAAGATTGGACCACACACCTCATAGGGGTTGGCCTTCTGGGAAAGAAGACCTGTTTTGGGAATCCTGACCTGTGATACTCCTTCTACAGAAATGCTCTGCTCAGAAGGGGCCTTCTCATCCTCTGCTCCATGCTCACAACCTGAAAGCAGGAAATGCTGGTGAAGTGCACAGTGACTTTCATGGGTAGGCAGCTGGTACACAAGTGTGTCTAACAAACCCAGAAATGAGTCCACAAGACTGTTTACAGGATTTGAGGTTTGAATTCAGCAGCCTTGGGCCACTAATGATCACAAAACAGGGGTACAGGAGCATTTGTGAGGTGAAAGAAACACTCTGGGGAGAGACAAGGTCTACACATAACTTTTCAATAGGACCTAGTCTGCTCTGCAGAAGGGTGTGTTCAGGCCCAGGAGAATTCAATAGTGAAAGAGAGGCCAGAGTTCAAGAATGTACGTACACCTCATGACACAATACATAGGAGCCAATGAGAAGAGTACCCTAAATGGAGCAGTGACTAAAATGGTCCAGACGTGGAGTCCAGAGAGGTGCAGATTAGGCCTGGACAGGAAGTAAGAGTATAAGCGATAAACAGCAGTTGACTAGTCACCTAAGTGTGAAGAATGGGGAAGAAAAGGCAGATATGAAGTGTGGGGACCATTGTCATTACCAACAAAAGACCAGTCATGTGGGATAAGTTTCTGGTGTTATGTGTACACAGCCCTGTTCAGAGCCAGGCTTCCTCTGAGCCCATCTTGCTGCAGCTGGGTTCGTATCTAATGTGTGAACCACAACGGACTCTCCTCACAACCACAAGACAAGCAACTATGTGGTCCTGGGATGATGCAAGTACTAATAAGAGAAAGACTGGGGAGATAACCGAGCACTGGCCAAGAACAGCTCAGCACATGCAGCATACAGGAGAGAAAACTTCCAAGGAGGGTCTTGCAAGAACAAACTGTGGTCTATGTAACAGTGATGGTCAGTGATGGCAATTTATGGCACGAAAAGGAATGAGGATATGTCAGCCAGAGGAAGAGAGTAGAAAGTGGAACCTTTGGAGAAATTGGATACTCAGGTGCTTTGTAACTGAATGTCACCTGGAAGGGAGAAAGCACGAAAAGTGGGATCCCCTGGGCCGACTGGAACACTCCTGACCCTGGTTCCTTTTCTGAGAGGCTTAGGAGTAGCCGGTGTCAGGGCTGTTCAAGGAGTAGCAGTGCACACACATCTCAGCCCAGCCCAGCACACTGCCTACTTGAGGAAGTGGGGAAAGAAACAGAGACCATGATCATGATGGGAGGACAGACCTGCCTTGGCAAAAAAGGAAAAGGGAGAGAATCGTTCAGGGCAGAAAGGTGGGGTTGAGGGTCTTACCCAAAGAAGTTATAAGTGCTAAGTTCTCCAGCATCACATCCTGGTACAGGTGTCTCTGAGCCTCATCAAGAAGATCCCATTCTTCCCAGGAGAAATACATGGCAATATCCTCAAAGGTCACAGTGCCCTGTAAGATGGAGACAGATGAAACCATACCCTTTCCCTAAAAAATGGCAATCCATCCCCTCCGCACCTGCCCCTCACTCATCCTCCTCTTAAGTATCCAACATAGAAGAGAAACCAGGCCCCAGCACCGCTGATGCCGCTGTCTCCTCACAGGCCCGTTGATCACTGGCACCGGCCATCAGTGACAAGACAAGGCAGGTGGATAAAAAGGTATCAAACAAAGGTCTGGCACAGAGGCACTCACTCATTTCTTTTCTTTTCATTTTTTAAGATTTTATTTATTTATTTGACAGAGAAAGAGAGCATTGTAGGTAGAATAACAGTCACAGGGAAATGGAAAACCAGGCCCTCCGCGGAGCAGGGAGCCTGATGTGGGGCTGGATCCCAGGACCCTGGGATTGTAACCTGAGCAGAGGCAGATGCTTCACTGACTGAGCCACCCAGGCACCCGGGCACCCCACTCACTCCTTTCTGCTAAGCAATTCCCCTCGTATGGACAAACCATGTAATTCTCAATACCAGGGCCTGGGGCATCAGGCATACGCCCTCTACAAGTACACATCATTCTTTAGATTGCATATCTCCCACTTTTCCAGACACTGCCATATGCTGTGATATGCTACCACCAGCTTACTGCCCTGCATATCTTAGGCATCTCTTTGGCTTTACAATTATACATAACTGTACTTCAATCACCTCCTCTTCACCCCACTAGTGAGGATGGGATTGAGTGCTAGGTTTACAGGGATGGCCAAACATAGACACCTAACACTGGACAGATGAAATTGACAGCACTTTTCTAACCATACATATTCACAATGTGGGAGAGGAGGACGCCACAAGCCACACAGGGCCACATGGGGGTTCCACTCCGGGAAAGAGTGAACAGCTAGTGGTTTTTAGACCCAAGCTTTGTAATATCAATAGAAAGAGGTACTCCTGTCTCCCCTGGGAAGATGCTGCTGACTTATCTTAGTAACTCCATGAGCAGGTAGGGAACTGAAACCAACTACAGAGGGATAAGCAGGAACTGCTTCAGATCCCTTTGGTAAAAACGCTGTTTGGTTAGGAGATCTTATTTCTGGGAGCAGAGTGGGAGGAGAAGCAGCACTGTGGCCATTTGAGATCCTCAAGGTTTCTAGACATCAGTGCTGCACATAATATTGGGTCTTAATTTTAGACCTGGCACTGAAACCTGACAACAGCATCCACAGGACTCTGCAAATTCAAACAGGACTGAATGCTACTGACTTCCCAGGATGCCCACTAGCAGTCACAGCCCTAAATCCTTCTACAAAGGCTTCACTTCTGGAGTCTGTTCCTTGCCTCAGACATGAGGATCTCAGAAAACCATGGCCCTATTCCACCATATGCTGCACTTCGTGTCCGCCCCCGCCCCCAAAGCAATCACAACTTCCTTCATTCAAAGGCTAGCTTCATCAGTGGTCGACCCCAAGCCTTACTGACTCTCACAAATGACCACATTTGCCATTTGCCCTTGACCTTAACTTCCTGGCTGAATGAAACAGGGCCCCAACAAGTCCTCACAAGGCTCTGGTGACTGCACAGAGTGATGAATAAGCACCCACTCCAGTCTGCACAACATCTTGCCTCAGTTATCTCTTGCCTCCTTGTCCACCTCATTCATGCCCACCCTTGCCTTGGAAGCCTTGGCCATGTGCCAGAATATCCTATCCCTGACACACACACTCCTTTCAGGGCCATTTACCTGCCTCACTTGTGTTTTTTTTTTTTTTTTTTTTTTTTTTTTTATGACAGTCACAGAGAGAGAGAGAAAGAGAGAGAGAGAGAGAGGCAGAGACACAGGCAGAGGGAGAAGCAGGTTCCATGCACCGGGAGCCCGACGTGGGATTCGATCCCGGGTCTCCAGGTTTGTGCCCTGGGCCAAAGGCAGGCGCTAAACCGCTGCGCCACCCAGGGATCCCTTCACTTGTGTTTGTGAAGCTTCAACCCATCACCAAGGTACCTAGGCAAGAGGTCCAGTCCAGTCCCCACTCTCCTGCACCTGGTCCCCTAATAGGTTTACAATCATAACCTGACAATTACCCACCCCAATCGTGAACACTCTGAACCCTTCCCCAGACTCCTGGATCTGTATACAACTGCCCCCACAACGCACCCATTCATTGGTTTCTGAAACACCCCACACTGTCAATATACCTCAATCAAAGCTCCTAACATCCCCTTCCCCACAAAGAGTATTACTTCTACTATATTCTTCATCTTAGATAATGGACCTTCCACTTCTACAGCTGCTCAGACCTAAAACACTGGGGTTATCCCTGAATCCTGTATTTCACTCCTCCCTCATCAGAGAGAATCTAGTTGCCCCTTTTAAAACATGCATCCAGAATCCAACTACTTTTCTGAAACCACAACTCCAGTCCTTTAACACCTGAGCTTTGGCAGTAGCCTGATCTTCCTTCCTTCTTCTGTCTCACAGTCTATTCTACACTCTGCAGTGAGGTGGGGTCTGGTAAGACCTTGTAAGATCACTTTCTGCCTCCAATTCACACCTCCCCATCACCTCCAAAAGACACACCCAACTGCTGAGTCTTGACTCCTGTCCCCCTGCTCTTTGTTCCCACCTAAAAGGACATTTGTGGTTTTTTTCTTTTTTTAGACACACACACACAGAGAGAGAGAGAGAGAGAGAGAGGCAGGCAGAGACATAGGCAGAGGGAGAAGCACGCCCCCCCGCAGGGAGCCCGATGTGGGACTGGATCCCGGAGCCCGGGATCACGCCCTGGGCCAAAGGCAAACGCTCAACCACTGAGCCACTCAGGCATCCCAAAAGGACACCTGTGTTTTTCTGCACACTCTCGGTTCAGTTACACCTCTAGGCATCTGCATATCTTGGAACCAGTTCCTGGTGCAACAGTTGCCAGAAATAGGAACATTTCTATATAAAGCCTGCCATGGACTTAGGGCCCTGTGCTTGGGGTTTCCCCAGGACCCCCAGACCCAGGCCTGGGGGAATGACACTTAAAAGCCCCAGGACACCATAATCCAGAGATCATGTGGGTGGTGGCCAAGGCCAGTGAGTGGTTGCGACATTCTCCACCGACCTGTGTAATGGGAGCCCCTCTGCCGCAATGGGAACCTGTGCAGGGGCTGGCAGTGGGGGAAAGGGTGCAGGGTTTGTTGGGCTCATGTTTCCCGTCTCCTTCCCTGGCCCTGGAGTACAGGTGACTTCATGTGGCTGAGTCTCAATGCTGTGTCCCCTCTTGCCGACTGTGCCACCTGAACTAAGATCCAACCTCCCACGGCCTCAATGCCCTCTTCAAGGCCATCCGGTCTACTCTTCCACTGAACCGCCTTCGGGAAAAGTTTAAATCCCTAACGGAGACGGTGTCTCTCCTTTGGAAAAGACCCCTCCTGGCATCCAGAGTCCTTACCCGAAGGTACCGCAACTCCGCCCGCCATTTCTGACATGACCCTGCCTCACGCTCCCTGTTCCCTGACCTCAGAGTCCTCCCGCCTCAGGGCCCCCTACAGCCTCTGCCCCAGCCCGCCCCTCCCCCGCAGGCCGCTCCCGCACGCCAGCGCGCTGGCGCTCAGAACGCGGGCCCCCGCCCACCGGCGTCTCCCTGTCCGGAACACCCGGGTCTGGGCCGCAGGGACGTGACCAGGCGCCCGGTGCTCGGGCCTTGAGGGTCTGGGTGGGGAGGGCCCGAGGGACGAGCGTTTACCTGCGGAGGGGCCCTGGGCGCGGCCGCCGCCATCGGACTCCGGGGGCGGGGCGGACGGACACCCGGGCTGGGGGGTCTCTGTCCTGGACCCCGTGCGGGGCAGTCTGGGCGGCGTCGCCGAGCCGTGGACCCCAGTCTGTGCGGCGGGGACAGCGGCTCCCTTAGCACCTTCTCAGTTAGTCACCCGGACCCCGAACCTGCGCTCCAGAACATTAGCAGACAGACAGCTATGAAAGAGGCAAAAAGACCGCCAGGGGGATGAGGCCGGAAGTCCCGCCTCGACGTTAGGCGCATATGCAGAAACGATTCTTTTTCTTTACCTTCATAGGTCAGGGATGTAGTCCATCGACGTGCGCTCTTCTGGGTAATGTAGTTCACAGACACACAGGACGAGGATGGGACACTCCCATTGACCTCTAGGAGGAAAGGCCACGCCCCCTAGAGGACTCTGGCAATTGGGGTCTCACGTCCCAGGCCAGAAGGGCTTGGCTCTTCCGTCGATGATCCGTACCCAGATTTCTGGAGAGTGGTTTAGAGACATTATTTCAGACTCCTTGATGCTCAGCGTGGTCCCAAACTAAAAATATTTTATATGCTCCCAAAACCTACAGATCGAAATGCACATATCATTCTATAGAGTCGTTTACATACAAAATGTGTTCCTGGAAGGAGAACCTAGGTAACGTTAAAGTCAAGTACACCCAGAAGCATTAGAGACAGTTTTGTTAGTCTGTGTATGTTTGGTCAGGAACAAGGCAAAAATACTTCATATAGAGACATGACAGAGAAGATATAGTATGGATGTGAGGCAACCCTGAAGCAAAAGTTTTAAAAAAGAAATGCATCCGTAGAAAACATCTTTCTAGTCTAATTATTAATTTTTGTGTTTAATTCATTGAACAAGACTTTTATCCATTTAATATCTTACTTTACATCCTAGCATAAACCTAGTTCCTTTTATGAAGCTACCATCCATCAAAATAATAATAATAATTTTTTTTTGGAAGGGAACAATGGCTGCAGTGTACAAAGATGGGGCATGTATGCAAAGGTAGCTCTTCTTTTCCAAAGAATTGGGGTACTTAAAACCCTGATTTCTGGACGCCTGTGTGGCTCAGCGGTTGGGCGTCTGCCTTTGGCTCCGGGCATGATCCTGGGATGCGGGATTGAGTCCCACATCGGGCTCCCACTGAGGAGCCTGCTTCTCCTTCTGCCTATGTCTCTGCCTCTCTCTCTCTCCTGAATAAATAAATAAATCTTAAAAAAAAAACCAAACCCCTGTTTTCATCTCATTGTTTGGAAGTGATTAATCATTTCTCTTGCAGGAACTGTTTTTTTTTTTAAGATTTTTTTTATCTGACAGAGAGAAAGAGAGCACAACCAGGTGGAGCAGCAGGCAGAGAGAGAGAGAGAGAGAGAGAGAGAGAGAGAGAGAGAGGAAGAAGCAGGCTCCCCTCTCAGCAGCCAATGTAGGGCTCCATCCCAGGACCTTGGGATCATAACCTGAATGGAAGGATGACACTTAACCAACTGAGCCACCCAGACACCCCGCAGGGACAGTTCTGCATGAAGAATTGGTTTTACAGTATTACCTCAGAACTATAGTTGCAAAATGAAAATTACAGAAAGCTACTATCAATGGCTATGTAGTGATTCAAAGGTGGTGGCAGCCAGAGCATTGGTGAGACATCAGTGGATGGGAAAAAAGTTAAGACCTCAGAGAAGATTTAGCAGTGATGTCTTGAGAATAGGAATATTTAGGTTGAATGTATGACTAGAATGATCACTCTGAAGATTTTCTCCAAAATGAACTCTTTCTTCATTCTTGAAAACATTGTGCAGTATCAGTGGAGGAAAGAAACAATGTAGACAGAGTAGACAGAATTACAAAAATATGCAGAAAAGCTGAGGTTTACTGTTATCCTTTTAGAATTGTGTCTGCACATGTGTGTGTCATTCTGTCTGGGTCCTTAATTCAATTTGTTTTTATAAAAGTTGTTCGTTGTGGCAAAAGTAAAGACACACTTTATATACCAATCTGCACTATGCTTTTCTCACTTAATATATATCTTGGACAACTTAAAGCCACTTCCTCATTTTATATCCACACTTCCTTATTTCCACATATATGAGACCTAAATCTGATTCTTTTAAAGGACTGCTGTGCAGTTCGTGGTCCTTTTGCTCCATGGCTAGCCAGCTGGCTCAGCTACGAATCTCTCCTATGGGTCCCAAGATCCTTCTTCCAAGCCCACAGAAAACTCTGTGAAGACTTCAACGGTAGTCCCTTGTCCATCTGGCCACTCTCAGGGGTCTCCTGTACTGAGAACTGGAGCAGGCATTAAAGGTATTAAGGCCAGGAGGTTGGTGACACTGACACAGGCCTTAGCTTCCAGATCCTTATGTTTGGGGTGCTGCTTGGTTGGAGTGCCCTCCTTAGGGTCCAGAAGGCAGAAGCAAGGACCACATTATACTGGCTGCATCCTGTCCATAAGAGAGTGTAGCCAAACCAAAGGACAGTTCATCTGCCAAATACACAGCAAGCCAATAAAAGTTTCCAAAGTGAAGAAAAACAGGTCTTTTATTGGTGTGGCACCACCCAGGAGAACAGGGAGCTAATGCTTGAAGTCCTGAACTCCCTGATGGGAGGAGGGGTGTCCAGAAAAGGTGGATGCTATTGACTGGAAGCCCATGAAGTCATGTTAACAGATGTTACTTCTGGTGCCCTTTCATCTGGTCCCACAGAGGTGTGTTCCATCTCACAAGACTTAAAATCTGAAAAATATATTAATTTCTTATATTACAGATTTCATTAGGTACATCTGGTGATTATGTGTTTAGGATAGTGCTGATCAGCTGCTTGTATGTGCCTAAACTAACCATTTATCCATGCCTAAGTTAGCAGGGTTGCATTCCTTCATGTTCTTTTGAATGATGAGCAAGTATTCATACCTCTTGGGCCTGTGTCTACATGTTCCATGACCAGTCCGGTTGTGCATGGAGACAGTATGACTTACAGTGTTCCTTCTTTCATCCAAACTAACAAGATGGATGCTAGCTTCAACAGGTGCTCAAGATTGTCCCACATGCAAGGACACTGCCAGGTGTCACAGGTTGGGAGTTAGCCTCTAGAGTGAGAATTGAGGATTCAGCCTCTGGAAGAGGAACATGGAATTCAGTGGATGGTGTTACCTGTCTGCACCTGACCTCTGAGCGGAAAGAGTGATGGTCTCTACTTCCGTGAAGGGGACCTAAAGAGCCCAGACTGAGGTTACACATCAGTCCTGTCCCTGGGAATCTCCTCCCCCAAGCACTAAGCAGTGGGATTTACTGTTGCCTTCATATCCCTTGGCTATGATCTCTGTTGCCTCTATCCTCTACTCTCTCGCTCCCCATCCATGTATAGCTTTGGGAAATGCCCTGAAAGGAGGATGTGACCTCACCTTCCTTGCTTTCTCTCTGCCAGCCCTCTCTTTTAATTACATTTAACTATTACACGTAACAATAATCAAGGGATTGCATACTTTTTCTTATTCCTTTCCATATTTAAAAATGCATCCATAAAACCAAGTCTCCAGCAGTTAGATCCCCTTGTAAGTTCCATTGGTAGCTTTACCTTTAGTAACTGAGTGCAACACAGCTCTGCTCCATACCATGGATAACCAGGGGGTCACCCAAGAATTCGTTTCTTGACCCCTACCCTTACACTTTTTATTTTCCCAAGATACGTGTTTCTGTGAGCCAAGGCTAGTCTCACAAATTCCACTTCTTCAGCATCAAGGAATGACCTTGAGCACACAGTTTTCCATGGCTGTTGAGGAGGGACCTTGATAGGACGGACGGAAGATCAGTAGGTAGGCCCAGCTCCCTTGTACAGCTGGGCAGCTATGGAGCATGCAGTGAGATACAAGCAGTCTTCAGAATCTAAGTGTGGCCTTTAGGAGGTAGCAGGTGTAAAAGGTTGAAGTAGCTTTCAGTTGTCCAAGATACATTGTTAAGTGAGACAGCAGAGTGCTGATATGTATACAAAATATGACTTTATTTTTACTAAGGAAAACAGCTTGTACAGGAACACTTTTTAACATATAGACATACACACAGTGGAATCCACGTGCAAAAGCCATTTTAGAAGGATACCATACTGCAAACTTTGTTTTCTTCAGGAGATTTGATTATCTGAGACCTTTGACATACTACTTTATAATTGTATATGGTATAGGACTCTTTCAGTAAAAGATAAAAGACATTTTATACCTTTGTTTGTATTAGGAAAACAAAAATGTATTTTTTGTTTTTCTCTTTGTTTTTTGTTTAGGATTTTTAAAAATTTATTTATTCATGAGAGACCTAACAAGAGAGACAGAGACATAGGCAGAGGGAGAAGCAGGCTCTCTGTGGGGACCCAAATGTGGGACTCAATCCCAGGACTCCAGGATCATGACCTGAACCAAAGGCAGATGCTCAACCACTGAGCCACCCAGGCACTCTTTTTTTTTTTTTTGCCAACTTCAGTTAAAAAACCCTACAGATTTAGACAGAATGTCGGTAATCACAAGAAATGCAGGTACATGTTTCTGCATGACACAGTGGAATGGTGGAGATTTCTTGAATATGTATCAGAATCACTTGGAAGCTTGTTACGATACAGATACTTGGGCCTGATCCACAAAGTGCTTGATTCAGTAGATCTGGGTTCCGGATTCGGAATGTAAATTTCAAAAGAGTCCCTAGGTAACACTGTGGGTTAAGGTCTAGGGATCAGACTGAAAATCAGAATTCTAGGAAAGGTGACGTTGACTGGTTCCATGTCCCAGTCCAACATGGTGGAGATTTGCAGGCTCTGAGAGACAGAACCAAAACTTCTCATCCACATGCTGGGAGTAGAACTGTAGTGAGCCAAGGTAAAGGAATGGCCAACTGGACTTGAGTCCCATGCTGTCCACTGCTAAGAACTGTGAAGCCTGCACTGCCTGAATAACCTAGACAACTGGTTTATTCTGCCCAGAATGGGGTTGCAAACATATCCACAAAGCTCATCTCTTAAAATTTCAAGTGTTTTCTCCTCTTATTAAGGAGGCCTCCCTTAGGGATCCCTGGGTGGCGCAGCGGTTTGGCGCCTGCCTTTGGCCCAGGGCGCGATCCTGGAGACCCGGGATCGAATCCCACGTCGGGCTCCGGTGCATGGAGCCTGCTTCTCCCTCTGCCTGTGTCTCTG